ATTCTGGTAAGAGTTTAATATTGTCAGTTATTAATTATAAAGAAACCAACTTTAAGAAACAAATGCGACGAACTGTGCGATAAATTCAGCTTGCCCAGTTCTGACGTAATAATTCTTAAATTATTAATTTTTTCTATATACGGTAAATTTTTAAAGCGAGAATTTAATCATTTCTTACGGCATTTTTGTATATTATAAATAGCGATAACACACATTTTCGTTCTGTTTATGTGCATCAGTGTTTATTGGGCGTGCATTTCAGAGAAATAAAGGGGGGTAGTTAACGAAATGTTAAGCACTTCTGAGTGTGTACAATTGAGGTCGCAATTCGAATGGCTAAAAACGAAGCCGTTAAAGGGTAGGATTAAAAACGGAACGATATTGAAGAGGATCGCATTTGCTAAACTCTGCTGATTTCTGTCAGCTGTTTTAAATATCTAGATCCTCAAACACCATAAAATTATCCATACTTTTCCTAAGAATCAGCTAAGGTGTAACGTGACATAGCCTTATAGGCGTCAGGCTTCAAAATGATTGAGTCGTAGACTCATCGTCATAGAGAAAGGTTAAGTTGTTCGAGGATTAAGAGTGTCATTTCTTGGGATTCTAACAACCAGATGGTTAGTCAGTAGTTTCGGCGCTCAACTCTTATCCGTAACATGAACTACTAGTTTAAGACTGTCGGGATGGTATACCGTGGCAGTTACAGGTTATACTCGTTACCCAAGAGTCTCTTGCGTTAACAAAGTGTTGGTAGAAACACGAGGCTATTGACCGTGCTCTAGATCGAGTATCTCACGACGGTGACTTCCCGATCTCAAATCCACTGAGATGTGAATACCTCCACTGCTTAACTGACTGAACGGGAGACTCTCTTGAAGACACTCTTGGATCAAGCAGGCAACACAGCATATCCATTGCCTAGAATGGTGACATGACAAACTCTAGGGAAGATTTTTCACCTTTGCCATTAAACTGTGGAAATCTTTTCACCAATTTCTGTCTTTATGGGCTTTGGAGATTTCTTAGTAGAACAATGCGCGTTTGCGGTTGTTTCGCCGGGGCATGATGAACTTGCCTGACCACTCCTGTCATTAAAAATGGAAAGATAAGTGCCAGTCTGCACCTAAGCCGTACTAAGGCAGGTTTAAAAGCTTTTAGTATCTTCTAAAACTCTCTCCATTTTTCTCTACTCCTATTTGAACTTGGTTTCCTGAAATTACTGTTCTAAAAACACACCGATATATACCAACGATCGATCCAACAGGAAATTATCACTACCACTCATGGACTAGCATAATTTTAAAGTATCAACTAATGCACTCTACTATAGCTAAATGGCACAGGTAGACGAAGTTAAAGAATAAAATACAGTTAAGCAAGAACAAATAGCCATCTTTCAAGGAGGAGGGCTGGGCGGGGGGATTTACACTTGAATTTACAACGGAAGAGTCCTGCTGTCTCCCCTGTTCCAGGCAATGACAGAAGTGAGTTGGCCTGCTTGCCTACGAATAATGGACACCACAAAGCCCTTACTTAGCTACGACTGTGGTTCACTGATAAAACGACATGGGGACCATAGCGTAACAGCTGCACGACATCTTTTCCGTGACACAAGGGTTTTCGCCTACGGGAGGTTTGTAATCGATCAGTATACGTAATAAAGCTATGTTGAATTGCAATGTTTCTTTAATAAATACTCACTTTTTCTTGGGAGAAAAGAACTGTTTCATCACGTCCTTAAACTTGCGCTTCTGTTTTACGCTGACATCGTCAACATGATTGTCTATTTCAACAGAACCTTCGTTAGGTGTGTTTTCCATTTCCGCGGACACCCAATCGCCCCAGCTTCTCCTGTTCAACTGAGAAAGCTTTCGTTTGGGTTCACTTGTGCCAGACACATTTGTTAGCGAGTGACTAAGTTTGTTTCTTTTGTCCGATAAAGTTTTACGAGTCCTTCTATTGAGGGTGTTGGAAGGTGAACTACCAGGCGTTTCAGAAACTCCAGAATCTGCCAGACTCTCTTGAGAAATACGTGACAAACTCTTCTTGCTTCCAGATAAGGGTGAAGACCCTCCGGAAACTACACTAGAGGTCCTTGAACAAACCGAATGTCGAGCATTTTCAGATGGTCTTCTCCTTGATAGGAGAAATTGCTGCCTTGGTATCCAAATTTCGGAAGAATGCTCAAGTGAGTTATCCTTTTCTTTTGTCAAACTAGGGTCTGACAACACTTTGTCTTTTATCTTATTTTCGTGTTCTTTTAATTGCAAAGTAGAGAGGTGCCCTAAAGAAACTGGCCGAGGTCTTGGAGATGTGACAGCATTTTTCCTTAAACATTTCCTGGATGGACTACATGGTGGTGTAACATCCTTCTTGACATTTCCATTTTCATCTTCTGCATTCTCCTGGCTTGGCACAGTCCTACTTTCCTCCATGCAGTCCTGGCTTTTGTCATTTTCTTTTGAAAGGGGGTCCATTTCACCCTGACTTTCTTGTTTGAGCGGTTCCTCTGTGGACCGCCGCCATTTTTTGGACCTCCGTTGCCAGTTCCGTATCAAATTACCAGCAGCCACTCGAAACATGCTTTGTCTGTGTAAGGGAAAAGTAAAACAAACAACATTACAGCGTGCCGATTTTTACCAAAAATAAGAGATTTTGCAATTGTAGGAATTATAAACACTTGATAAAGAGTTTAGTTGATGTTCATGTTGGACCTCTTCCCTTTCCTTCCTTATTTCACTGAGCAAATTTCTGGATAATTTGTGTCCACCATAGACAATGTTTGCAGACATGATTTCTGGTCGCTCTCACATAGTTTTATTTCGAGGTTTTGGAGTTTTTCATTCCACGTTGCAGCTCCTTTCGTTCTAAAGGGCAACCTTGTGTAAATGTAGTTTATTCCGATTTAATCATTCGAGACGCACCCTGAATTCTTGTTATCTTTTACATCGTCACTGTCTTCCTCTTCAATGGCGGCGAACTCCTCGTGGGTGTCTCGTTCATAGTATGTTTCTTTGTCTCCTATACTGGCAGGCCGAGACAAGGTGGGGGATTCTCTGTTTAAAAGGAAAAGAAAGACCATTAGTTTGAGGATGAACTTTTTGTGTCAAACGTCTTGTTTCTGTTGCTATAGAGTTATTGTTGGGTTTTTGTTTACTGATGCTATTGACGTATTACTAACAAAGTAGGAACTATTTATATGCAAGGTAGTAATCTGGGGTTTTATGCTGCATCGATGGGAAAGTTGAAAAAAAAAAACAAAAAAACATTATCACTTCCACAGTCGTAGTTGATGACATCAACGTACGTTTGAACGTTAATCGCTAGCAAGAGCAAATCGTTCTTATTGGTCCTGATAGTTTTCAAAGGTAATCATACCACAAGTCGTAGTGCAGAAAGATTGTGCTTCATCTTCTAGAAGTTTCTTGGTGGAGATTGACCAATATATATTCAGTGCAAAGAAAACTATTTTATTTTTAGAACAAGATGCAAACAGCCGAATTTGTTTTGCTTGATATACGAGGCAACTCATCACGAACGTATAACAGCAAACACTAACAGTAACCCTAACCCGGGAGTTAAACGACATCGTTGAACGCAAAGAAACCCAAAATTACGCAATAATTCAACAAACAACCACATCGAAGCATCTTGCAAAACTTACTTCTCTTCTAAAATAACAGCTTGAGACGTAATACGCTCAGGCGATCCATCCTGCGAGTAAGTATTGCCTGGTCCAGCGGAATCTACGGACAGGGCCGAGACGCTGTTTGCTCCCACAGATCCTCTGTGAAAAGAAACACTCTATTGAGTTGATATGCTTGCCTGAGAGCCTCTGTAAGAGGTGCAGTGATTAAGCTTTGTGATCCGATGGAGTTACTGCAGTTTGCTCACGACATTAAATTGTTAAGTGACATGGGGTGCCACTTAAAATTGTCATGTCTTGTCGAGTGAATGCACTGTACACTACTGTTGTTGCCACTTGCTAAGTAATCAGCAAAACATGGGTAAAGAACTTTCAAATGAGATGCACACCTATCATTGTCCTGAGAATTCTGCCTGTTCTTCTGAAGTTCTTTTCCCTTCTTCTTCAAGGACCTAGGAATAAGTTAAATCAGGCACAGATATAAGTAAATTAATTTTCTTGGACTATATCAGTGGCTTGTGACCCGATATTACTTGCTAGTTTGCGTACTTGAATGACAATAAAAACAATTGTGACAGCACAAGACGTTATCCTTTTTAGGATTTAATTTTAAGAAGTTTTAAGCATAAGACACATTTTCAAGATGCCCTACATAAAAAATAAAATAAATAAATAAATGAATGAATGAATAGATAAAAAAAATAATAACAAATCGATCAACTCTCAAAAATTATTTTGATGTCTCAACGACAAGAAAATTAGGAAACTCTGTAGGAGTAGTCGCGACCATAACAAAGTAATTTTGTTACAGAGTAAATCAACTAACTTTCTCTTGAAGCTTCGTCGAAACTGTGAGTTGTTGGCAAGCTTGCAAGAGCTTTGAATGGAATCATTTAGAATATTAATCATCTGCTTCATAGTTTCTAAGGCGTTCTCTATGTGGAAACTGTCAGGATGTCCTGCATCAGTGT